ACTCCTGTTGATCAAGCTCTTCTGTTGATATACATATATATTTCATTTTCCTTTCCTTCTTTCTTACTTTTTTCCTTCCCATCATCCCAGCTGCTCATTTCCTTTAAAAAATTTCTTTCACTTTCATAGTATCTATTGTACCTTTTGTATTTTATTTACTCTTTCAGGATCTTACACTAAGGATCCCATACAATACAATGTTTACACATATGAGTGATTTATTTCACCTATGAGTATGGTCTCTAGTTGCATCCATTTACCTATAAGTCTTGAGTTTATCTTTTATTATATAGCTTAGGAACATTCCATTGAATAAAAATATCATATCTTTTTACATCCATTTCTCAGTTGATGGACATTAGGGTTGTCTCCAAGATTTAGCTATGACAAATTGTGCTGTTATAATGTGGGTGCACATATATCTCTGTGATATAATGTTCTCATATCTTCTGGAAAAATACTCAGGAGAGGAATAGCTGGGTTGAATGGGACCTCTAATGCTATCTTTTAAGGAATTTTCACACTGATTTTTATAATGGTTGTACTAATCTGAACACCCACAAACAGTGGAGAAGTGTTTCTATTTCCCTACTGCCCCTCCAGTATTTGTCATTCATTGGCTTCTTTGTGATAGCCACTGTTTCTGGGGTGAGATGGAATTTCAGTTTTGTTTTTAATTGTCATTACTCAAATAACCAATGATACTCAACATTTTTTCATATATTTATTTGTTGTTTTTATTTCTTCATCTGACAAGTGTATATTCATCTCAAATGCCCAGTTTTGGATTGGGTCTTTGAATTTGGAGGGCCTGATTTTTAAAAATTCTTTATATGTTTTAGACAGTCCTTTGTTTGAGAGACAGTCAGCTAACCTGTTTTACCAAGTCTTGGGGTTTTGTTTTACTTTTTTGGTGATTGCTTTTGACATGCAGAAACTTTTTTTAAAAGATAAGATTCCAGTTGTTGATTCTTTGAAGTATTTCCCATGCAGTTTGGTTTTTGTTCATGAACTCTCTACCTACCCCTATGCCTTTAAGGTTTTTACCTACTTTCTCCTTTAGAAGATTTAGTGTTTCGGTTTTAATATTTAAATCATTGATGCATTTTGATTTTAGTTTTGTTCATGGTGATAAACATGGTTCAAATTTTAGCCTGCAGCATATGGAAACCCGGTTTTCTTTCTTTCTTTCTTTCTTTCTTTCTTTCTTTCTTTCTTTCTTTCTTTCTTTCTTTCTTTCTTTCTTTCAAGCCATTTTTACCAGTATAATATATGAAAGAGGCAATCTTGATTCCAGTGAACATATTTAGCCCCTCTGTCAAAAATAAAGTGGCTCTGTGTGTGTGTGTGTGTGTGTGTGTGTAGTTGTGTCTGCATCTTCTAATATGTTTCATTGATCTTGTCTGCTTTTTTTCCAGTAGCATGTTGATTTTATCACAGTAGCTAACGTTGCCACAACTATATTGAATAGGAGTGGTGACAATGGACATCCTTGTCTTGTTCCTGATTTTAAAGTGAAGGATTTCAGTTTTTACCCATTTTGTATGATGTTGGTTGTTGGTTTATCATATATGGCTTTTATCAGATGAGGTCAAGAACATCTATTTTGATATTCTGTAGGATTTTAAATCATGTATGAGTGTTGGACTTTGTCAAAAGCTTTTGCTACATCTGTTGAGATGATCATGTGATTTTTGTCTTTGGCTCTGTTGACATGGTGTATTACATTTATTGATTTGTGTATATTGAACCATCCCTGAATTTCTGGGATGGATCCCACTTGGTCATAGTGTATAATCCTCTTGATGATTTCCTGCATTCTGTTTGCTAGTACTAGGGATTTTTTGCATTCATTTTCTTTAAAAACAGTCCTCTTGTTTTGGTTGGGTCTTTTTCTGGTTTTGGTATCAGGGTAATATTTACCTCCAAGAATGAGTTAGGAAGCACTGTTTCCCTTTCAATTTCATTGAAGTGGGCTGGGGAGATATTTCAGTAGAATAAGTACTTGCCTGGCAGGTGCAAAGGCCTGAGTTCAACCCCTGGTTCTGTTGACAAAAAAGAAGAGGAAGAGGAAGAAGAAGAAGGAGGAGGAGGAGG